GTGTTTGTATAAATGTATATTGTTTGTATAAATGTATAATGTTTGTATAAATGTACAGTGTTTGTATAAATGTATAGTGTTTGTATAAATGTATAGTATTTGTATAAATGTACAGTGTTTGTATAAATGTATAATGTTTGTATAAATGTACAATATTTGTATAAATGTACAATGTATAAATGTATAGTGTTTGTATAAATGTATAATATTTGTATAAATGTACAGTGTTTGTATAAATGTACAGTGTTTGTATAAATGTATAGTGTTTGTATAAATGTATAATATTGGTATAAATGTACAGTGTTTGTATAAATGTATAGTGTTTGTATAAATGTACAATGTATAAATGTATAGTGTTTGTATAAATGTACAGTGTTTGTATAAATGTATAGTGTTTGTATAAATGTATAGTGTTTGTATAAATGTATAATATTTGTATAAATGTATAATATTTGTATAAATAACCACCAAACGGGCAGGCAGAGATGGGCAGGACACACAGAACGCGGTGAGCTCCTCTCTCATTTCCAGGGCCCGGGGTGTGATGCGGGTCCCTGGCAAACCACAGCTCCTCCCCTCGCTAAACCGATTTTAGTTTTACTTCTGTTGGCGTGTGTGAGGAGGCAGAGACCCCGTGAATCTGTTTTTATGCTGGGAGAGGGAAGTTTCTCCCAGAGCCGGGGTGAGGCACTGAGCATCCCCGGGGCTTGCTCCCGCTATTAATCGTGTCATTAGTAAATAAGTTACTATTTGTGCCCGAGGAGGATGTGCTGCCCCCGAGCACAGGAAGTGTGAGCTCGGTTTAAAGGCAGACCTTGGCTGGCTAAAAGCGAGCCTGACTCTGTGCGGAGGAGGGGATGGAGCGATTCCAGCCCCGCCCGCACATCCAAGGACCCGGAGCCGCCCTGGAGCCGGGCACGCTCAGGTTTCACCCCAAGGTTGTTTTCCCGGTGGGTACCGGAGCTGGGAAGCCCAGCAGGGATGTCCAAGTGTTCATTTTCTGTGGATAACGGGCTGGGGCAGGCACGGCACCCAAGCTCTGCACGGCTGAGGAATCACCAAACGCTAAACAGAATTAAGAATAAAACCCCAAAGAAGATCCCTGCGACCAAGTGAGACATCAAATAGCAGCCACTCAGTGGTTCCAGCAAATCCCACAGGGCTTTTCTTCCTTTCCAGCTTACAGACAGCAGATCCAGCTCCAGCATGGGCTGCCCGGGCATTACTGAGTCCATAAATATCCAATAAAACTCATCTTTTGTGCCCCCTAAAGAGGGGAGTCCCCACACAACCACAGGATTCCCATCTCTGGAGTTTCTTGGTGCGTGTCCTTATTTTACGATTCATCACTCTCCTAGCAGAACAGGCAAATAAAGAACACTTGGAAAATTACATTTTCCCGAGCAAGTTGAATTTCAGCTCCCCGGGGATTCAATTTACAGTAAAAGATGGGGGTAAAATCCCCAAAGCAGCTCTTTGTCAGCCTCTCCCAAGAAATGTGAGTCCACAAAGCAGATTTACACCCCCCAGACACACAGACACCGCACATCCCTCAGGATGGGAGAGGATTTTCCACAATAAACGCTGCCCCACGACCTCCAGCAGTTTGCATTATTTACCGGGACAGGGGCAGAGCAGAGGGAAGAGCACAAAACCCTCCG